ATGAGGGGTCAGACCTGAGAGGTATTTCAAGGACTGTTTTTCTCCTCCTTCCATCTTTTCCCAACACTTCAGCATCCCCCATGTTTCTCCAGAGATAGAAACTCCCAGAAACAACTTAGAGAAAGTCCATAGGACCACTAGCAGTGTTTTGCTTCTTTCAGGGAGGGGGGAGTGCGAAATTTTACGGATATGACTAGAAATAGAAAGAATTCCCAGGTAGTGCAGGTTGAGAATTTTCAGAGTTTTTGTATCCCATTAGTTCAGACTATGAGAGGGTCAGGAAATCAGCATAGAGAAGAAGATATTAAAGTATGGTAGTTACATTTTACCTTTATTTGTTTGTCAAAACTAAAATGCTCTAATAGCTTTTTCCGTATCATTAAAATAAGGAAGTTAGGCTGGGGAGCCTCAAAGGCCCTTTAATCCTAATTTGTGTGTGTGTGAGTCTATGATTTGAAAAGATACAATTTAAATTAATGCTGGTGTTGAAATGTAACTCTCAAAATGCTAGTCTTGGCACTGAGGCCAAGCCCTTGGTGAAGGTTCAGTTGATAGCTTGGAGTTGTTGGCCCCTATTCCAGCCACCCAGAACTCAGAGAAAGCTGAGTGAAAAGTAAATTCTAAGAATTAGGAGGCCAAATTTATATATGAAATATATATGAAAATGAGCACCTTCCTGGGAACATCACAAATAACACACCAAAAATCTGTCACACTCAAATTTCAAGTCTCGGTGTTAGATTTTATAAAATGAATTACCTCCCCCGGCTGGAGGTAAGGTAAATCTACAGGTAAACTATCTCTTTTTTCCATCCCCCCAACATCTTTTATTTACCCTCCTACCACTAGTAATTCTGCTTTTGTTTATGTTTAGATTTATTTCAGAGCAGTAGCTTTCATTGCCATCTAATTTTTTCACTCAAGTGTAAACTTTAATACAGTGATACTGGAATGAGTCCACAGTCCCAGTGGTCGAGGGCTCAGGACTGAGCACTTTTTTTAAAAACTCCTCAATTTATTCTAATTTGAAGCCAGCCTTGAGAAGCACTGGCCTAGAACATTTTAAAGAGGCTGCTCCTCCCTCTGGCCTCTAGGGGGCAGTCCTGTCCACTAACACAACTCTCAGAACTATGGGAACATGTTGACACTCTCTGGGGACCAGTGAGGCCAAACTTAGGGCAAAAAACGGCTAGGACTGAAAATTAGAAGCTTGAATAATATTGAGGTCATTGAAGGCAGAATTTCTTTAAAATTCTCCTAAACTTTGGGAAATTCTGTGAGCAATGCTTTCCTTCTCCTACAAGTGCAATTTTCCCAAAGTCTGTCTTATACCCAATCCCAGGCTTATAAACCTCTTCATTGTGAGAACCTCCCCCATTTCATTATCATTTCTTTGGATACAGTTCACTTAATAACAGGTCCATCCTTTATTACAACCCCACTCAGAAGAATAACTTGGTCAGAAGAAGTTGTTCCTTGTCTTGAGGAGGACACCCTAATCTTTACATGTGCCCATTAGTACTCATGTCATCCTTGACTCTTCTGGAATGACAATTACAGCAGCCAGGATCTCAAGGTCTTCTGAAACATTTCTCAGAAATGACCTGGATAAAGGCCACAGAGGTTTTGTGGTTTAAATGTAAAGATATATCAAAGTAATGGTGAGTTGTGGGGTTGGGAGGGCCCAGGTACACGATTAGCTCAAGGAGCTCAGGAACTGTCGTAATAAACATTCAGCCACCTACCTATCTGGGTTAAGCATCAATAGTGGACTCTGGGACATTGATCTTTGATGAACAAACCTGTTTAATATCCTTAAAAAATAAAGTATTACAAAGAAATTAGAGAAAAATTATACTAATTTAAATACCATAATATACCATGGCAATGGATATGCACAAATAATTTCCAAATTAAAAAAATAACAAATACAAATAAAAAAAGAATCCAACTTCGGTGATAAACAAATGCACATGAAAACAACAAGGAAATAATATTTTTTCTCTACAAATTGTTAAATAATTCTGTTAAGCATTAGATGCTAATGTCATGAAACAAAACTCTTAGAAAACGCTATAGAAATGTCAATCTGTACAGTCATTGTAAGGATAATTTGTTAATGCCTATAAAATTATTTTACTCAACAATTCTACATCCAGAAATTTATCCTTAAGAAATAGGAATAATTGACCACAAAAAAAGCAAATCTCAGTAAGTGTTAAAGAATCAGTATCATACAGATCAGGTTCTTTCACTACAGTGAACAAAGTTAGATACTATTAATAAAAAGCCAATTTCAAATAAAAAGAAATACACTCCTAAATAGTTTATGAACCAAAAAAGAAATTACAATTAAATTGTTAAAATATTTACAGCTGAACAATCATGAAAGGTCCACATTTTAAAACTTGTGCGATGAACCTAAGCAGTACACAGAGAAAACTTTATAGCCTTAAAAAATAGATCAAAACAAAAAGACTGAACGTAATGAGTGAAACATTCAATCAGAAAGTTTTAAAAGAGAATAAGAGGAGGAAGAAAACAGTAATAATAAGAGCTGAAATTAAGGAAATAAAGACAACAAAGCAAAGGAAAGAATCAATTTTAAATGGTTCTTTGAAAAGAATCAGAAAATGGACAATTCTCTGATAAGATTTGTCAAGAAATAAACAAGACAGAAAAATGTTGTGTAAAGGAAGAGTATAACTACATAGTAAAAATTTAAATAATTATAAGACAATGCAAGGAATAAAGTCATACAAATAAATTTGAAAACTTGAACAAAATGTAAAACTTTCTAAAAATTATAGTCTAGCAAAACTGACAAGAAAAAATTGAAAACTTGAATTTATATGTAAATTAAAGAAATTCAAAACTCTATACATACATATGGTTTCACAGGCAGGTTACATCAAACCCAAGACCAATAATTTCCATACCTGAGTACTGAGAAAAATGAAAACAGGAAGACTACTACTCAACACATTTTATGAAACCAAGAGAACCACAAAGACAAAAATAAACAGATGAATGATACATGAAAATTATAGACCAATATTACATATGAAAAGCAATGACTACTCCTAAAAATATTACCAAACCAGCATTGGATATTAAAAAGTATTACCAGTGCACCATGATCGATTAGGATTTATTTCAGGAGTATGAAGAGTGCTTAATAGCAGTGCACCATACTGCACATAAAGACATTAGCTATAAAATTCTCTCACTAAATGCAGGAAAGTGATTTGGTCAAGTTTAACATAGTATTTATAAAGTCTTTTCGCTAGGAAGGAAAGGGAGCTTCCTTAACCTGGCAAAGGGAATCTTTGAATTTGTTTTCAAAGGGAGATGTGAAAAGCATGCCCTTAAAAATTTGAAAAAGACAAAGATTTCCAATTTTATTCTTTTTATTCTACATTTCACTAAATGTCTTAATGAGTGCGGTAAAATAATAAAAACATTAGAACTGGAAAGAGAAAACACACCTACCATTAATCACACATGGCTGATTCCATTTCTGGGGGAGAAAGTGTACAAATGAGCCTAGAATATCTCTTTCTCCCAGAAAACTAGGAAGCTCTCACAGACCACAGAGGCCATGTCAAAAAGACCAGGAGCCAGCCTGAAAAGATTTCTGCTGGTAAAGATGGGACAATTCCCACATCAATAAGATCATGAATCCAATAGACTGAAACACACCAAATATGTTTAAATCCATGAGTTCATAAAAGAATCCTCCTCAGTTACTTTTGGGGATTTATCCTGGTTGCCTGGGATTTGCTTGGCACTCTTTCGGTGTTAATACCAAAAACCTCATGTCCTAAGGAGCCCCTCCATCTCAGGCAAACAGGAATGGTTGGTCACCCTAAAGGTCACCAGCTCATTACTGTGAAAACTGATAAATGAATAGAAAGACTCACGCACTTAACCTCAAAGAATAATCAAGTAAGTGACAAGGAAAAAATATCTTTATAGAAATACTTCAGTTAATAAATGAGGTAGAAATGATATCATTAAAATATCATCATTTTGCAAACCAACTCCTAATTAAACAATAGATCTAGTCGTTGCTTATCAACAGTCACTAACAAAACACACACACACACACACACACACACCAAAAGACAATCTGACATTATGTGTCTCCTGAGTAAAGTACACAACCCCAAGATGTCTGGGATTTGCTTTCAACTAAACAGAACTGGGAGAGGTATAGATGAGTAGGATGATGAGGGTGTAGACTAACAAGATTGGCCATGAGTTGGTAATTGTAGAACCTGGACAATGAGTATATGTGGCTTCATTACACTATTTTCCCTTTTGTAGATGTTTGAATTTTCCAGAATTAAAAACTTTAAAATAACATAGCTAACATACAAATAAATTGTCAGAAAGGCAAAGACTTATATTTACAATGTCCACTGAATCTTACTTAAACCAGCCAAAAGAGGAAACAAAATGTTGTCAAACAATGACAATGCTTAAACAAATTCAGATACACTTATACAACAGAAAAGTGTGAGTTATAAAAATCATGTTTTCACATAGTTGAATGACATATGACATATTCATATACATAATGGTAAACAACAAACTGTTTTACTTTGATCCCAATTCCATGAAAGTATGCATATTTGCATTAAAAAATACTGAAAGAAATACAGCGAAATGTTAACAGTATTTATCTCTGGGTAATGAGATTATGGTTGGATTTTAATGTCTACTTTCTCCTTTTTGGTTATGTCTACAATGGGCAAGTTTTCTTTCATGATAAACAATATGCACCATGTTATAGATCAGTTAGAGAAGAGAGGCCTGGAGGAAGAGAGGCAAACACAGACGGCAGGAAGTGTGACTCAGCTTGCGTAGGCAGAAACCCCGCTTCCAGTTCTATAGAAGCAAGGCCGCAGGGCCTCCCAATTCCAGTCACACTGCAAAGGGCCTGGCATGTTGCAGACAGAATAAGAGCCATTTCACCAGCGGGAAGGACCCCGAGGATGCCGTCCAGACTGCTGGCTGTGTTGTGCACAGTGGCGGCCTTCATCCACCTTGGTAGGGAGCCCACCAACCTGAGGAAGGAGGTTTGGGAAAGAAGTTAGGAGAACGGGACTGGGGGCGCCTGGGTGGCTCAGATGGTTGGGCCTCTGCCTTCGGCTCAGGTCATGATCCCGGGGTCCTGGGATCGAGCCCCGCGTCGGGCTCCCTGCTCCACGGGAAGCCTGCTTCTCCCCCTCCTTCCTGCTCGAGCTCTCTCTCACTATCTCTGTCTCTCTCAAATAAATAAATAAAATATTTAAAAAAAAAAAAAAGGAGAACTGGACTGTGCCTTTCCCCACTTTGTTTTCTGGGTCAAAACCTGGCTTTTTGTGACAGCTTTCTTGGGAGCAATGGCAGCAGCTAAGTCCTATTTTTCTTCTTTTCTACAGGTTCCAGCAATACGGACAAGGTCCGTCAATCTCAGAGTGCTGTGTCTGCCGAGGAGGGAAAGTCTGTGACCTTGGACTGCAGCTTCACGCTCAACTTTAACTACTATGTGATGAACTGGTATCACCAGCCTCCCCATGGAAAGATGACTGGAATCATTAGTATGTTCTCTGATACGAGCAGCAATAGGGAAGGACGATATAAACTGTCGTTTCAGAAAGGAAACAAAATCCTAAAGCTCACCATCACAGGCTTGATGCCTGAAGACACAGGCATCTATTTCTGTGCTATTGGAGAAAGTACACGGTGAGAGGAGTGACGGGGAGAGCCTTACAAAAACCCCCTGGGCTTAGCATGAAACAGCCACCTGCTCCAGGAGCTTAGGAGAAAACAACCCACAGGACAGGAAAAGGGTAGACAGAAGGCACGGTGGGTGGCACTGGTGGGTCCAGAGAGGAAGCTGATGAATGTTCTAGCAACACTCTTCCCACATCTGGTATCAAAGAAAGAGCTGTGGTTAGAAGATCCCAGCCTCAAGAGCATTTTCATCTCAGAATCTCGGTGGATCACATAGCTGATGGAGATACGCATCTGTCTTTTCCACCTGCTAAACATCCATCCCCTGTTTTCCAGTAACAACACCTGGATTTTCCCTGGATAACCAAGCCCCGCCTCCTCCTACCCCATGTTTGGGTGTAGATGAAGCTGACCCCACCCTACACTTCCTGGCCAATTAACATATTTCACCTCTCTAACCACGACTGGTTCAAGAATGGGTCCCTGACCCAAGCCCCCATCCCAAAACTTAATATGAAATTCCTGGGAATAGTGCTGGGGATGTAAGAGGCCAGGATGGAAACCTAGAGCTGCCAGCAGCCCTCCTCCCACCACAAAGGAAGAGCATGATCCTGAAAAGAGAGGATGAAACTGAGCTCCCATAACATTGTTTGAGGCCCCGGACCCTGTAGTGATTAGAGATCTACTTGGGATTTTTCAGTTGTACACCCCAGCTGCCTAAGTTTATGTTCCTTCAGAAGAAGACAAGGATTCAAGTGCAAGTGGTTTAGTTAGGAGGTGATCCTAGGGGCACTGGGAAGAGTGACAGGAAGGGAAGTCAGCCAGTAAAGAACATGTGTGTTCTCAAGCCAGCTACCACTGTGGGCACCCAGAGTCTCATCCTACCAGGGAATCTCTGAGAACCAGTGTGAGACACTTGCCTCAACTTGTCCCACCTGAGGGCCAAAGGAGCTAAGGTATCAATACCCCAAATCCCAGGTGTTGTGGGTGGAGGACGGATCCCAGGGATATGAGTGCTGATTCCCCAGCACTTAGGTCTGCCAAGCAGGCTGGGCAGTAAGAGAGCCCGTAGGCCAAGAAACTCAAGTTCTAGCAGGAGGAAGGGGACAGTGTGCACCCAAGTCATAAATACAAAGTGATAAAGGGAAGAGACCAAAAATGCAGCACAATTATTTTCTCTTCTTTTATAAATTATTTTGGGTTGGGTTTTCTATCACTTGCAATCAAAAGAGACCTGACTAAAAAAGGTAACTTAATAAAGACAACATTGGGTAAAAAAAATAAACCAAACAAAATACTTTAAAATTACTTTTTTAAGCTTTTGGCTTGCTACAGTTGAGAAAGGTTACAACTCCTCAAACAGTTCAGATTAGATCGGTTGTTCAGCTCTTTCCTCCCACATGATCCAGGGTAGCAAGGAGGAGGGACAAACCTAACACCTGTACCTATTATTGCCCTAGGCATTTAACTGTTCCCTCCCCTTTCAGACTCTTCTTCCTCAGGGTCACCTTGCTTAGTGCTGCTAGATGAATGGCCCTGTAGCGTCCATCTAAAGAATCTTGCTTGCTTAAAACTTCTGGATTCCCTGTGAGACTGTACTTTTCCCAAATCCAAAATTCTGCTCCTGCTGTTTGCTTCTCCTGCAATATGTTTCCTCCCATTTCTACCTTTTGAACTCACTATCTCTCAAAATCCAGTTCACATCTTTGATGCTTCTGAGGATAGCCCGTTAGCAATGAGCATGCCTAGATCTCATATCTTAGTTTCTTTTTTTTTAAGATTTTATTTATTTATTTGAGAGAGAAAGAGAGAGAGCATGAGCAGGGGGGAGGGGCAGAGGGAAAAGCAGACCCTCAGAAGTGCAGAGCCTGACAGGGGGCTCCATCCCACCACCCGGAGATCATGACCTGAGCCGAAATCAAGAGTCAGATGCTCCAGAGAAATTCAAATCAAAACATCAATGAGATACCACCTCACACCAGCCAGAATGGCTAAAATTAACAAGTCAGGAAATGACAGATGTTGGCGGGGATGTGGAGAAAGGAAACCCTCCTACACTGTTGGTGGGAATGCAAGCTGGTGCAGCCACTGTGGAAAACAGTATGGAGGTTCCTCAAAAATTTGAAAATAGAGCTACCCTACGACCCAGCAATTGCACTACTGGGTATTTACCCCAAAGATACAAATGTAGTGATCTGAAGGGGTGCATGCACCCCATTGTTTATAGCAGCAAAGTCCACAATAGCCAAACTATGGAAAGAGCCCAAATGTCCTTCAACAGATGAATGGATGAAGAATATGTGGTGTATATATATACAATGGAATATTATGCAGCCATCAAAAAAAACGAAATCTTGACATTTGCAATTACGTGGATGGAACTAGAGGGTATTATACTAAGCAAAATAAGTCAATCAGAGAAAGACAAGTATCATATGATCTCACTGATATGAGAAATTCTTAATCTCAGGAAACAAGCTGAGGGTTGCTGGAGTGGTGGGGGCTGGGAGAGATGGGGTGGCTGGGTGATGGACATTGGGGTGGGTATGTGCTATGATGAATGCTGTAAATTGTGTAAGACTGATGAATCACAGACCTGTACCTCTGAAACAAATAATACATTGTATGTTAAAAAAAGAAGATCGTAGGAAGGGAAAAATGAAGGGGGGGAAGTGGAGGAGGAGACGAACCATTAGAGATTATGGACTCTGAGAAACAAACTGAGGGTTCTAGAGGGAAGGGCTGGGGGGGGGATGGGTTAGCCTGGTGATGGGTATTAAGGAGGGTACGTATTGAATGGAGCACTGGATGTTATACGCAAACAATGAATCATGGAACACTACATCAAAAACTAATGATGTAATGTATGGTGACTAACATAACATAATAAAATAAAATTAAAAAGAAAATGGGGGAAAAAAAAGAGTCAGATGCTCAACTGACTGAGCCACCCACGCACCCCCCTCGTGTCTTGGTTTCTAACACCATTTTTCAATAAAAGGAACCAGAGCTCCCTGGAGAAATGGCTGATTCTAGGGCTGAGGCAAGACGAGGCTGAAGCATCTTAGAGTGTTCAAAAGAAGAAAACAACCACCACCATGAATGATGGGGTTATGTTAAAGGGACATAGGAATCAACTGAGAAAGCTCACTGTGGCCAAAGCTGGAACAATTGGAGCAAAAAATAAAGTAGTATTGAGTAATAACCCAAAGTTTACAATGAGTTCCAAGAGTCACTGATATAAATCATGGAATAAATAAATGAGGGAGAACAGACCAATCTCCCATGCTGAAGAATTCTAAATATGTAGACACTCCACACTTCCCACTCCTTAAGTGTGTGCTACACACAGGGACTTTCTTCCAAAAGAGACAGTATGGAAAGGGTGACAAAGAGCAACTTTACAGTGGAAAAACCTGACAAACACTACCTTACCCCAGTGAATACAAGTCAATATCAACAGAGATAAGTCATGTTGGTAACATGTCCCCTTGATATGATGTGATGAGAAATGGCATTTTACTTCCGTGGTCTTCCTCCCCAAAACCCATAACCCCAGTCTAATCATGAGGAAATCATCAGAAAATTCCCAATTGAGGGACATTCTACAAAATATCTAACTAATACTCCTCAAAATTGTCCAGATCATCAAAAATATGAAAAATCTGAGAAATTGTCATAGCCAAGAGGAGCCTAAGGAGACATAACTAAATGTAATGTGGTCTCCTAGTGGGATTCTGCAGGAGATAAAAGACATTAGGTAAAATCAAAGTAAATCTCCTACAGTATGAATTTTAGCTAATAATTAATGTATTAGTATTAGCTTATTAATTGTGGCAACTGTACCATTGTCAGGTGTTAATAATAAGAGACACTTGGTGTACAGTGTAAGGAAACTATGTGTACTATCCTCACAACTTTTCCGTAAATCCAAAACTGTTCTAAAATTAAACATTTATTATAAAAACTTGCAAAACTGTAGGTTTCGGGGCGCCTGGGTGGCTCAGTCATTAAGCGTCTGCCTTCGGCTCGGGTCATGGTCCCAGGGTCATGGGATCGAGCCCCGCATCAGGCTCCCTGCTCAGTGGGAAGCCTGCTTCTCCCTCTCCCACTCCTCCTGCTTGTGTTCCCTCTCTCGCTGTGTCTGTCAAATAAATAAATAAAATCTTTAAAAAAAAAAAACAACTGTAGGTTTCATAGGGCCTGCATTTTGTGGAGGGAGAATCACAATTTCATGTATAAGCCATATCATTATATACACACCAAAAAGAGTCTTGAACTGTGCTGTCCAAGACATAGCCATTAACTACATGTGGCTCTTGAACACTTGGATTGTGACTAGTCCAAATTGAGATGTGCTGAGTGTAAAATATACACCAAGTCTCAAAGACTTAGTATGAAGAAAAGAATGTAAACAATCTCATTGGTATCTTTTTATTGACTAATGTTGAAATGATATTTTGGGTTTATTGGGTTAAATAAAATATATTTTTACAATTAATTGTATATATTTATTTATAGTTTCTTCTAATGTGGATACTAAAAAAATTTAAATTATGTATGTAGCTCACATTGTATTTCTATTGATAACAGTCGTCTAAAAGGAAAGACATGAAATGTTGACAATAGCTATTCCTGGTAGTGGAATTCAGGGTGATTTTTTTTAGCTTTCCTTTTTCTAATTTTTCATCAGTAAATGTGTGTTCCTTATACCATTAAAAAAAGTAATAAAAATAAAAATACACAAAGAACTATTGCTATGAAATGTCACACTAAAAGACGGAAGCACCGAGCAGAAATGTCAAGCCGTAGAGTCCTTCATTAATTAATTATTCACTCATTTATTTGAATATACATATACTAAGTATCCCATGTACAAGGCACTGGGACAGTTGCTGAGAATACAAATACACACACAAAAAAAGGTGGGCTATAATTATTTCCTTCACGTTCACAGTCCACTTGGGAAATTAAGCCTGTAAATAAAATATGAGAACACTGTATGGTCAGTGA